ACATCCAGCTTCCCAAGGTTCATACATCTTACGTTCCAGGTTCCTATGCAGTATTTTTCTTTGCAGCATCAGACTTTCCATTCACTTCCAGGCACATCCACAGCTGAGTGTCCTTTCAGCTTTGGCCCATCCACTTCATTAACTCTGGAACTACTTGTACTTGACCTCCCCTCTTTCTCTGTAACATGTTGGACGCCTTCCGACCTGAGGGGCCCATCTTCCAGTGTCATATCTTTTAGCCTTTTGTTTCTGTTCATGGGGTATTCTTGGCAAAGATTGTGGAGTGGCTTGCCAATTCCTACTCCAGGTGGATTGCGTTTAGTCAGAACTCTCCAGTATGATCTGTTCGTCTTGGGTGTCCCTGCATGGCATAGCCCATAGCATCTCCGAACTACTCAAGCCCCTTCACCACGACAAGGCAGCAATCCATGAAGGGGTGTGAAAACATGGATTGCTCCAATTGGCATATCCTACCTCTGTGTGACCTCAAGCAACCTTATTCAGCCCACTCTAGCCTACTCCAATTGAGCTGTCTAGCCAAGCCCTTTATATATTTCTGTTTGTCTAAGTTACTTGTCACAAGCTTTGGTTTTCCACTTTCAACAGGACACAGCTTTCTTTGTTTCTTACTTTCAAGTAGACATTGGTATTTCTGGATTAAACCCCCTACTCCATGAAAGGGGGTAAACTCTCTCTTTCTTTCTCTCTCTCCCTCCCCCCTCCCCCATGTGCACAAGATTCAGAAAATGCCCAGCTGGAGAGGGAAGGACTAGAGCAGTGATGGAGAACCTATGGCATGCATGCTGCAGCTGGCGGCACGCAAGCCATAAGTCACCGGATCACTACTCCCCCCTGCCCCCACAGCCAAAGCTGATCAGGCGGCTGCAAAACCTGAGCAGGCGTACTGGTGCCCGGACAGGCGGCAGGTCAGGATCTGGAGCAGCTGGTGCTGGCGGCGGATCCGGAGTGGGGTCTTGAGGCACCTCTGTGCCTGGGATTCTCCCATTTTTGAGGCACCTCTGTGCCTGGGATTCCCCCATTCACCGCCACTTCCGGTTCCGCCGCCACCACTGCCGGCGCCTCCTGTTTGTTTGTTTTCCCCAGTTTTGGCATGCGAGCCCAAAAATGTTCACCACCACTGGACTAGTGTGAACCTAATGTTTAATGAAAGTCTCGTGTTTATTTCTGAATGAGAAACAAAGCAACGACCAGTTGCATGCTTTATCTTGAACATATAATGTTGCCTAGTGCTATGAAAACTCTGGGAAATGGGCTTTTCATGGGCTACTGTTCTGTATATGGTCCACACCATAGCTAAGTTGTGAACATCCCATACACGCTTTGCTATACTGGCTCACTCCTACAATAATTTCACTGAGGGCATAATTAGATTATGTATCTGATTGCACCAGAAAGATTTGCTTTGTCAGGAGACATTTCCCTTAAAGCAACCCTTGCGTCTATCAGAGAATCACTCCAGCCTGTCCTCCTCAAAAGTAGTAGTCTGACTGCTGGACCAAAAAGGTCTACCCATACACGCTTTGCTATACTGGCTCACTCCTACAATAATTTCACTGAGGGCATAATTAGATTATGTATCTGATTGCACCAGAAAGATTTGCTTTGTCAGGAGACATTTCCCTTAAAGCAACCCTTGCGTCTATCAGAGAATCACTCCAGCCTGTCCTCCTCAAAAGAAGTAGCCTGACTGCTGGACCACAAAGGTCTACGCCGGAGACATTGGAATGGGTTTAGGTTGCAATGCTGTACATCATGTGATCACTGGAAAATAGTTTGCACTGGACTGCAGCACAAGTGGTCTAAAATGTGAGCTATATGCTAATGTGATCCAATGGTGGCTAGCTCTTCACACTCCTTGTCAGCTGACTGAGGTTATCTAGGGCATGTGGACTGTGGGAACCAGAAGAAAAAGCCACTAGGATTTGACCCACCCTTACCAGGAGGAAGAAAACGGTTATCTCCTTTGCAGAGGTGTGAACACCTCTGCAGAGGAGATAAAAGTTTTCATCATTGTTCCACTTGCCAGTTGCAGGTGGAGATCTGTTCCTGACAGCTATATAAATAACTGTGGTTAGAAATGTGTTTAGAATTTTCCTCCTCCAAGATGTTCCATTACAGCTATTGTTAAACCTGAAACACAAAGGACTCTTTTTATTCTCATATTGTAAATGGAGAGAAATATCTGATGTGCAAGGATTTTGTGTTGGTAGAAAAGAAAGAGAATAAAATTACCCACAATGAGGCCCTTTTCATTGTAATTAAAATGTCCATCAAAATTTAAGCCAGAACATTAGATGGTGACAAGGCTGCCAAACTTATCGGAACCTACTGCCTTGGATTAATAAAACACGTCTAGATCTGTATCTTTGTCTCGATTATGATTTCCTTCACAGAAGGCGAATGCCTTCTTTTTCCAGTATTAACAAAAGAAGCAACGACACCACGTTACCCCCAAAGATCCAGTCTTATCTAGTCTGAATAAGAGACAAAATACACCAAGCACTTTTAAATGATTTCTTAAAAAAGGACAGGGACAGCCCTTGTAAAGGAAATAGAAGATTTCATTGTGATTATGTTTTAAGAAGCACCACTCTCATTTCATCCTGTAACCTGTTGTTACCTGTTGTTACCGAGCTGGGGCAGGGGAAGAATGGGAATCTCACAAGAAGCAGGATTCAATTATCTGGAAAACTGGTGCAATGTTATGCTGCTTTTCTGGTTTGTTACCAACAGAGGCAAGAGGATTGGCCATGATGTTGACTTTCTGATTACTGTGCCAGGATCAAGGGAGGAAGAAGAGGTGCTTCACCTAGTGATTGACTGTTGGAAAAAGCAGGTAGGTCAAGCTGACGTGAGAGCGTTGAATTCGGCATTTTCAGCTTTGATGAATCTATGTTGTTATTGAATACTTTGTCCACTTCAATCAACATCCTAGATGTAATTTTTCAATCACACTTATTGGCCTGTGCTAATTTGTGAGAGGCATTTGGGTGCTAATTGTATTTTGCTCTTTTTTCTTTTCCTTTTTCTGCTATTTGCTTTTCCCTGGCCAGAGACACTTAATTGCTCTCTGGTTTGCTTAAAATGACTGGAGGACTTTTCTCTGCTGGTTGATTTCTACTCTGAAGTTTACTCTGTGAGAAAAATTTATCTGTGCCACACTCACTGTGTCCCTGGCTCTGATTCTCATGTCTTCTTCACTCATTGTGCCTCAGGGCATTGTCTGGGGGAGGAGGGAACTGGCTTCTAATCTGAAAATCAGCTATTAAAATAATGAGAGTGAATTACAGAGAATATATGATAGAGCTGAGCTCTGACAAAATCAAGCAGTAGTGGTCAGAGAGAGAGAGAGAGAGAGAGAGAGAGTTGAACAATGTGGTTGTAGCAGAGCTTCTTTGACTAACATGTCTTGAGTTGGCTGGCGTATTGCTAAGTGTCCCCCATTGTTAGCTCTTTAAAACCCACTTATGCACACACAGTTTACTGGAGAGAAAAGGCCACAACTTGCTTGGTTACAACAGTTTAGTATTAGGAAATTGGATCCATTGCATTGTGAGGCCCTCCTGCCTCCCTGATGCTTACCAGCACATGCTTCTGTAGCCACTGAAGGAGCACTAAACCTCTGACTACCACCTGGACCTATGCTGCTACTTCTTCCCCTGAGAGTGGGGTCAGGCGTACAAGCCCCCTGCCTTCACAGCAGAGCCAGACCATGGCCCTGCCCCTAGTCCCTCCCATTCAGGGGGATTTTTATATCAACTTAGGCATCCAAGACTCCTGCTTGTCATCCTTCATGCTGCCTGGATCCAACCCCATTGTCCCAAAACCATGAACAAAGTTGTGACAAGAACAAAGTAAACAAACATGCTTTACAGTAAGAAAACCCACCACCAAACTTAGGGAGGATGGGAAGGGGAAGCTTGCCAACCACAGACTGTCCCTCACTGGAGCCAGGCATCACTTAAGCAAGTGGACCAGACTGGAAACCGTGCTCCTGCAGTCTACAGTACTCACCTGGCAGTCTTCTGTGTCAGATTCCCCGGTGGCCAATGGGCAGCTGGTCCAGAGACCTCACTGCCTCACAGACCAATAGGAACCAGCAAGGAGGGGGCCCAGCTTCCCCTTGGCTCTCCTGGCTCTGGTGGTTGGTTCTGTGTGGCGCTGTCATTGTTACCCATCTTAGGAGCCTTGTGGCGCAGTGGTTAAACCGCTGTACTGCAGCCAAAACTGTGCTCATGACCTGGGGTTCAATCCCAGGTAGCGGCTCAAGGTTGACTCAGCCTTCTGTCATTCCGAGGTGTGAAATGAGTACCCAGCTCGCTGGTGGGGGGGGGATGTGTAGCCTGCATACTTAACTTGTAAACCGCCCAGAGAGTGCTTGAAGCGCTATGGGGCAGTATATAAGCCGCACGCTTTGCTTTGCTTTTGCTTTGCTTTATTGTGGTCAGGAAGGGGACCTGCTCCAGCAGCAACAAGGGATGCCAGGTAAGACTGAGTCCCTACATCCTATGAGGATGCCACAAGCTTGCTGAAAGTAAGCAGGTTAGAATTTGGTCAGTGTCTAGTTGGGAGACAGTTTGATAAACCGATGTAATGCTATTGGAATTCTGTCATGGAAGAAAAGTTGAATATAAGTGCTAATAATAAATAATAATAATAAAATAAATAATAAAGTCAACAATGCTTTGCTGTCTTCATAGGACAGTTGTATTTATGTACAGTGAAGCCATTCATGGGTGCTATGTTATCACAGAGCATTTCTGCTTTCCAGTGCTTTAAACTACAATTCCCATGACCTCCACACAGCGAGGCCAATGGTAAGTGGTCATGGATGTTGTAGGTTAAAATGTCTAGAAATCCAGAAGCTCCCTAGTCTTGCAATAGAAACTGGCTTCCACATCACAGTTTCTTTCGACTCTGATATATCCTTCCCTGTACAACGTGTGTAGTGGCCTAAACCTACCTCATGCACTGAAACATTCTTGGCATAATCTGGGACAGCATTTTGTCAGTCTTCATTTTCTGATGTATTTAATATAATTTTAAGAATTTCAGAGCCATTTCTTTACCTAAATAGAATTCCAGTGCAGGATACATAACATTAGAAAAACAAATAAAATACAACAATCATAAAATTACAATTCTTCAGAGGCCTATAACTATTCAACGAGCAACGAACAGACCAACAAGCTAAAATCAATTTATACTAAATGCAAATTTAATAATTTGAAGTGCAAAATCTCTGGACAAACTTTGGTGTAAAAAAAAAGAATAGAGGTATCCACAGATATCTCTCGGGAAGACAAATAACAATCTGTAGTTCCAGAAAAGTATAATCCACTTTGTACAGGCACAGTGCAACTTATTATAGTTTGAGAACATATATATAGATAAGTAGATGAAAAATTACAGTAATAGACAATAAATTATAATGCATGACAATAAATATATGAAAAGAACAGCATCCATCACATTAAACTAATTTAAAATATTTCAGTATAATTGAGTATCACACTCAAGAAATCATGTTGCTTTACTCTTCAACAATTACTTTTCCTCACCTATCACCATTTGCTTAGATTAATAAATGTTATTGATCTGTATGTACAGAATTAATCCATCAGTCTTTCTCTTGATTGAACATAGCTATAAAAGGGTTCATGTATTTTTAAAAATATTAAATGTTTTCATTGGTATGTAGGTTTTCTGTTACCCAGTGTAGTGTTGTAGACAGAGTGGGGGACTAGGACTCAGGAAACTCAGTGGGGGTGTGGAACTGGTAAAACCACTGCTGAAATATCTCACTTATCCTGTTAGAGTTGCTATAAGTCAATTCCAAATTGATGGCATATACAGTAATTAAGTTTTCCAATGGTATACTGTATATTTTTATGGGCTTCTCCATCCCTCACACATCAATCCTTTTTTCTTTACTTAAGAGTAAGCATGTGGTGCCGCAGTATGGTCAGAATGATCAATGAAGGAAGTTTCAATTTCTTCTCAATTTGTTTTTCCTTAAAGATTTTCTCCCTCTGCCCACTGAGATTTTAAAACACAAGAAAGATACTTCATTTACACCAATTGATTATTTTTCCCTATGAAGAATTCATGTGTGGGTGGTGGGAATTTTTAGGAAGATACACCCTCTCTGGAACAGCAGAATAAGTCTGTTGATTGTTCCTCCTGAGTTCATCAGCCCTCTCCCTCCACTGAAGGACAAATCTGTTACTGCTCCATCTCTGTTAAAGAGGTCTGCTACTCTCTGGTGCAGTGGAGATTGTTAATCCCACGGGAACATTTCAGCAGAGTTCACGCACGCACGCACACACGCACGCACACCTGTGGACTAGTCCCAGTCCAGACTGGAGCTGTGCATGTTTATTCCTGAATGGGACTGAGGGAGGAATGTTAGACTGTATTATTTCTACATAATGTAGTTTAGTTTAGCTTTCTGCACAGCTGATATGATTGGGAGCTATATCCATCCTGGTCACAACTACTTTTTTTTCCTACTTGTATTATATTTGTAGATACATCCAGTGTAGTAAAAGTGCCCTAATCTTAGTTTACTGTACTATTGGATGGAATGGTGTAATTGCCTCAGGCAGCAAATCCTATGGAACAGCAGAATAAGTCTGTTGATTGTTACTCCTGAGTTCATCAGCCCTCTCCCTCCAATGGAGGACAAATCTGTTGCTGCTCCATCTCTGTTAAAGAGGTTTGCTATTCTCTGGTGCGGTGGAGATTGTTAATCCCACAGCTGGTATTCCAGCTACATAGCTTCTGTATGTGGAAGGGGAGAGGGACACCATTTTGTCCTTCCCTTCAGGTAGTGAAGCGTCTTGGACTGGCTCTGGTTTTGAGGCTCTGTTCTAAGAACAGATGATGAGGGACATCATCAAAGATAGTAACTTCAAGCCATTTTAGATCTCTGTCCTGTTTTATCTCTACATTGTCCTATTTGAATCTGTCTCTTGTGGATCCTCTGTCTGTGCTAATACAACTTGCAAGTCTATTTCAAAAGTCAGTCAATATTGTTCTGATCAGATTTGTCATTACTCTATTCAAACCATTGCCTTCTTTTTCTCTAGAGTATTCAGCCATCCCACTGTTTTCAACAGACTTCTCAGCAGTTTTCTCTGCTAAACACGCATTATTTCTGCTAAGGGGGTCTAAGAAGAGTTCAACAGTAACAGTTAAAAATATACTAATGTAGCCAACTGAGTCAGTGTTTTGGCTGATGGGAGTGTGCAGGGATGGGGACGCAAGTCGTGGGACTCATTGTTAAGTCGGACTTAAGTCGCACCAATGACTCAACCTGGACTTGACTTGTTTCACCACCCCCCAAATGATTTGGACCCAACTCATGACTCAGAACCCACCCACCTCTCCCTTTTTTTTCTGAGGAAAAATCTTGTTTTTCACAGGGACTCGGACTTGGTCCCAAAGGCTCAGACTTGGGACTCAGACCCCAAGACTTGCCAACATCTCTGGGAGTGCAACTTAGTTTAAATTTGATGTTTTAATAATCAGAGGCACAGAGTAACCTGATTTCAAGATGACTGCTTGATGGTACCTTATCACACTGAAGAATGACCTGAGAAGCAACATTAGTGACTGCAAATTCCATCTTGCTGTAGTCTTTACTGGTGGTCTGCCCCACCTAATTTCTCTGAGAAACAAAGGTTGTAGACAGATCCAATTCTCTCTCACTCCTAAGCAGCTCACCTGCAGAGATGAAGCGTAGAGGACTTGGAAGTTGCATGTGCTTCAGCCCTGGGTCCATTTTTTTGGTGTATGCATGGTAACAGTAGAAATGAACCAGACAAATGGCTC